AATATGTTGACCAAGGTGGTTACTACTGAGAATTTGAAACTTTGCATAGCTTCAACTAACTTTCATGGTTAATTGTTGAGAAGGCATCGCACTAGTTTGGAGGTGTTATGGTTTTGAGGTTTACTAGATTTACTTTGGAGTGCAGTTGATGTGATCAGCCTCTAAGTGGGAGATTATTGAGTATGTGGAGTTGGAAGGGTTTATTGGGCTTGGTCCATTTGCGTTCTTTCTTTTTTATAAATACTCATGTAATTGTAAGTCTAATAATATGAAATAGAAAATACCATCTAGTGCAGCCGTGGACGTAGGTTATTCTGACCGAACCATGTAAATCTTTGTACAAAAACATAATGATGTAAAAATGTGCATATGCATCACATAAAGGCTAGTGGCTTGGGTCCAGTTAAGGGCATGTTCTAAAATGTGTATTGGTTTATGAGAGGGATATCATTGTAAAAATTTCAATTTCTCTCTTAAGCCATAGCACTTTTAATCCTTGACAAATCATAAGATTGTTATTACTTGACCCAAATTGTCCTAATAAAGACCTTGTGATAAGTGTCTGCATTTGCCTTACCATTGGTTTAATTTGGAAACGGAGAGCAAAGTTGAATTGTGTGGCTTGAGTAGTAGATTTGAGAGAAACACTCACCTTGATACACCAGTGTGCACAAAGAGAAACACTTTCCTAGCGAGGATGCATTCATAGATGATCATTAACTTTCCTCAGCTCTTTGATCTTTTTTGAAACTTTTATTTGCACCTTGTCATGTTCCATTGCAATAATTGTGACTGAAAGTTCATCTAAGGTTCGTGCTTTCGAAAAGAAAATCCAAGTAAGCTAGAATTTAGGAATCTGACATACATGCATTGCTTGGTGTCTACAAGATCAATTACCTGTTGTTTGAGGGCAAGCAAGGTTCTAAGTTTGGGGGAGTTGTTAAGTCTCTTTTATACTTATTTTTATATAGGAATTATTAAACAATTTCACTCATCCCACACACTTTTGCAATATAATTGTTCTCTTTTGATTAATTTTTCTGCAGATATAGATAACCCAAAAATTATTTGACAATACCCTGATACACCTCATTTTTTGTGCAGGTATTGAGTTGAAGAGTTGAGGTTGAAGACCCATTGGATTGGAAATTGAAAGAGCTAAAGAGCAGAAAAAGCAATATCACATCAGGCACAAACTAACCATGTCGGGCTTGAGAAATACAGAGAGCATCACCTCTGCACTTTAGCATTGCACTGGGTGCAAGAGCATCCGCGCCGGGCGTGCTTCAAGACAAAGAGCATTCAAAACTCTCTAGAAGTCATGGCGTCGGGCGTAGGAGTATCCATGTCGAGCGTGATTCGAGACAGAGAGTAATTACCTGTTTGGAAGACCCAGCACCGGGCATGAAGTATAATGTGTCGAGCGTGTAAACCCTATCCTGTCGCACCCAGCTTCATATTTGATCAAATCTTTGAGGCTCATTCCCTCATTCACACATTGGGCGACTTCTAGGACCTGTGGAAGGGATTCCCGATGCTTGGGACCGTTTGTGTGTGGGTCTTTCCTTTGGTTCTTCCATCTTCTCTTCCATCTCTATTTTTGTTTCACCCTCATTATTTTGAGCGATTTTACCCATTATTTTGTGGGGTTAGATGTAACCAACGTAACTCTTATGTAATCTTCACTTTAATATATATATATGTTGTTTCATTGTTGTGTTATGTTTCTATTCTTAATGCTTGCTTTGAATTGATTCTCCTTTGCTTGATATAGAGTCCATTGGGTATTGGAAAATAGCCTTTGAAACTAGCTCTGAAACAAAATACCTAGTGGAAAATGTATCTAGGAATGGAGTTTGGCCCATTAGTAGTCTTAAACTCTAACCCGTAATGCAGGTGTATATATTGGATACTCAAGGAATTGATATTCACTATATGCACCTAGGCTCTTACTCTAAGGGATTAGGTTTGAGTAAACTTATGGGTTGACTAGGCAATGAATGCAATAAGAGAACAATGATTCATCAGAGTGAAGTTCGGTAATATCTGACCCCACAATCTTACAAATTCACAATACCATGTTCTATCCCTTCCACACACACCAATAGTTTATAGTTTTAAAATTCTAACAAGTCATAACCTTTACTTCAATTGCATGACAATTTATGAAAATTTTGGAATTATTATTTAGTCACGAATAGTCATTAAATGCTTATTTTACCTAACTAGTCCCTGTGGATACGATTTAAATTTACTACTTGTACGATCGGTATACTTGCCGTGTCTAAGTCCGTTGACGGAATTAAAATGATTTATAACAAAGACAAAAACTAATGTTCACGAAAAAACTCAACATTCACACATGGATTTTGTGATGAAAGATTGATTAGAAACAATTTTTTTATTATTATCAGAAAATAATTTATGAAATTGTGTCTAATAGTTTTTAAGATATATTTTTGATAGAGTAAAATATGAGAGAATAAATATTTTTTTGAAGAAAGGATTTTTCATAAATATATTTTTATTGTTCTAGAAAGTACTTTGGAAGTATATATATTTTTACTCTTCCAAAATGTATTTTTCAGAAGTATGTTTTATAAGATACTTTCTTAAACTAATTTCAAGAATAGTAAAAATATTTTTTCAAAAAGTAAGTTTTTGCTAAGTGTCAAAGTCTTAGAAAGTCCCAATGAGTTGGATGCTAAGTGAGAGGAGGTTGGCACTAAGTATGACAGCTCCAAAGTGCAACCTTTGCTATTTATTCTCTCAACACTAAGAAATGTTTGGCACCAAGCGAAAGTGCTCTAGAGAGAAACTCTTGCTCTTTAACCTATTAACATTAAGTGTGGATTTAATTACACTAAGCCCTTGAAGTAATAGTTGTGGTGTTAAATGCTTGTTACTTATGTAATCATGTATGTTCGTAAATAAAAACCTTTTGTATGTCAACAAATATACAAAGTATAATGTATTATATAAGATGTCATGGTGTATCAGTGTATGTTCTAATAGGTAGGATTTGTCAAGTGAAATAAATGTGAAATCATGTGCATTTGTATGAGTCATGCATCATAACATGACAAAATATATTTTGGAGTACACATATGAGCCTGAATGGAGAGGTCATTAAGGATTTTCGAATTTGGGCCTTGGGGGTGTTACTTAATGTAGAATTTTTGTGAGGCCTTTGTTAATCTCATAGGTTGGAATGTCCTTGCAAAGATAAGTTACCCCAACCGATCATCTGAAAGGTATCTTCCTAGTTAAAAGTCTTAGTGTTGTATACTTATGATATGGTGATTTGTCGATTTCTTGTACATTGAGACTACTTTTAAGAAAAGAGTTTTGAATGATACCACATGCATATGAGAATAGAACCTACAAAAGTATTGACTTGGATGAATATCTGTCTATGTATATTTATGTCGCATGAAATTATTGTCATGTTCGTAACTAGTTGACCTTCATTTTTATATTGAGAGCATGTCATAAGATGTATCTCCCTTCTTTTGATTGAATTTTTTTTTTATTGTTTTGATTGAACATCACTTGTAAATAAGGTCCAGTTTGGTGTCAATAACAATGTAAAGGAGGTCTCCTTCTCTAACTTTTGATTTGATTTTGTATGCTCTAATGAGAATGGGCATTAGTTATTATGCCATGATGTCCGTTATCCTTAGGAAAGTTTTTGAAACTGTCATTTTTATTTAAATTTTGCAACATAATAATTGAGATAGTGAGTGTCACACTTGTCATCCTTTTATTGCCACAAGAAAATAAAACCCATAATTTTTAAGCTCTCTGACGGCTCCCAAGTCTTCATTGACATAGTAGAAAGTGTTTTCTTGTCAACCCACTTATATCTTCATGATGTCTTGTATATTCCAAGTTTTCACTTCAATCTCATCTTAGTTTATAAGCTTGCTAAGTCACTTGATTACAAATTAACTTTTGATTATTGGTCGATGTCAGATTCAGGACTACCTCTCCTTGAGGACAATTGGTGCTACAAAATTAGAAGGTGGATCGTATATAGTATGTCTAGAACATAAATTTCATATTTCTACTTTATTTGTAAATAGTACATGCTCATTCTTGTAACATTTCCCATGTTCATTTTCATTTGGTGGCTAATGTCCATCAAAGGTTAGTCTGTCTAGAACATAAATCTCAAATTTCTACTTTACTTCATGGGCTCACGCTTCAAACATGAAAATGAATATGGAAATGAACCAAATTTCGTGTCTCTAATTTAAATCAATTTGTATTTAGATTATACTAGAAAAATGACGACTAAGTAATTTAAAATAATATAAGCTAATAATGGACTTTTCTTTTTTTAGTTTTGGAAAACAATTTTGATAAATTCAAAACTAAATACTCTCAGAACTTCCATTCTTCATATCCATAATTTCCCAAACAAGATAACGTGAATACATTCATAATTTTAATCCTTACAAATATTTCCAAACATTTTTGCTAACAAAGCTTCTGAAAAAAATAGTAAATATAACAAAAATAACTGTAAAAACTTTATTTTCCTCTTCTTTAGAGATAAGACGAATGAAATAAAAATAATATTAAAAAAATTACATATGGACCCAAAGGTTAAAATCAGCTTTTGTCGGGAACAAATTTAATGATAACGTTTCAACTACAATTAAGATTATATAATGTTTCTTATTTTCAAGTGCATTGACTTCCATGGAACAAAATGATATGGTCCTCATTGCATTCCTCCCATACTACTGTTTACCTATCAAGATATTTCATGCAACTACAGCTAATTTCACTCCCAAAAGCATTCCCTCCTTTTCTCCTTCAAAGGGGCATGTTTAATGCAGATGAAACAGAAAAATGACGATAAAAACAGATACCACTAAGAAAGCAAAGTTCATGCTAGATGGAAACCAAACCCTACAAAATAGCTAAATCACCAACCTAACATACGGTAGGCATGCGTGGTTGATACCTCAGCATGTATGAGAACTTAAATCCAAGTGAAATCTGCGCAAGGAAATCAAAATAAACAATCAAACATTATTACAAATTGTACCTTAGGTGCCAATCTATCCAAACAAGTACAAGTCTCTGATCCATTTTTCTTCCGTTATTCCTATTCATATTAACCTTGCCAAGCAATTCAAATTATTCTGCCGACCAACCAGAGTTTGCATTATTTCAAAAGCATTAATGGAAGAACAATTTTAGAAGGAGGAGGCTGAGGGGAAATAAAATAAAATAGCACAAATCAGACTCAAAGACAACACCCATTCTTATCCCATTGAAACCTTGGCAGAGGGACTAATTATTGCCTCGGAATACCCCAAGTTAGCATTCATCTTTGAGGGGGATCAACTGTGCGAACATTAGCAACTGACATTCCCTCAATTCGGTCCTTTGTGATTTCCACAAAGTGACCAACAATCTCGTGAAACTGCTTCAGCCCTGACAGGGGAAGAATGATGGAGGATCGATCAGAACCTGCAACCTGAAACGAAATAACAAGAATTTACAGCAGAAAATCCTCTTCCCACACTATATAAAACAAAGGAAAAGGACAAAAAATAATGACAGCACACCTCAGATATTCTTAAGAAATGACCCCTATTATTGCTCCCAAGATCGAAGAAGAATCTTTTTTGATCAGCCCTAATCACTTTTGAAACCCCCAAGTTTCCAATTTCATCCTGAGCTGGCAAATCAACAGACCTGTCCACATTCAACTCAGAAGAAGTGGCAGGTTGATTACTATGACCAGATATGAAGCCAGCACCAACATCATCCGAAAGTCCAACAAGACGCTCTGAAGATTCAGAATTTTGCTATGTGGAATGCAAACAAGCAAATAAGATGAAACAAAATAAAAAAATGACAGCTTCGACAATTCTTGTGGCTAAGCAGGAAAAAAAAAAAAGTGTGATTGCAAAAGAAGGAAACCTGATTGGGTAGAATGAAAAGCCTTGAGGCTTCATTGATCTCTGCCAAAATGTTCCTGAATGCTGCCCACCCTTCATCCCTGGAACTTCCAGCAGGAACAATTATAGTGCTACGGTTTCTGCTAACAGAAGCTTCAGACACCTTCAAAAAGATAAATAAGAATCATAATCATGAAACAAGATATACATGCAGATAATATTCTGCATAAGATAGAAATTCCAAAATAAATGTAAATATGAAAACCCAAAATGATGAAAAACAGGGTGACAGCTTTTTATGAGGGACTTCATGTAGGTTCATTAAAACATTTTCAGTTGACACAGCACCAACTAGGAGAACTTTTTGCAGAAGTTTGTGCAGATTTTACTTAAGGATCAACTTTTTCCAAATTCAAATGCAAATCTATTAACAGGGACCAATATAGAAGATAGAGGAATTACAGAATATAGATAGTAGTTGACAGAATAGCTACTGTCTAGTAGTGCAGATTGGTTTACTGTTATTCCTATGTTTCACAATGACGCATACTTTAAACCTTGTTTTTGTTTAATTGTTTGGGTTGAATAATAAATGCTGTTACACCAAAAATACAAACAACTTCAAAATTTCAAATACAAATTTATCTGGTCTTCACCTTTCACACCCTTCCTGCCCTCAAACACATTTTTGGCACTTAAATTACACAAGGGCAGGCAGTTAGATATGAACAATAATTTGGCAATAAGAATAAAAGGGGGCATAGAAGGTACAACATAAAAATTCTAAACCCAAATAGTGTACCAACTACATATACCCTCCATTTGCTAATACTTCATAAGGTTGTATACTGTGTACTCTAACCATGCCAGAACCTAGTAACTGTTTCAGATTCTATCTTGGTGATAAAAGAGAAATTAAGGGAGAAATAGGATGAAGAGGGGGATGAGGAGGGCAACAAAAGTTTAATGCATTGAACATAGAAGTTACAGATTAAACAATTGGGTAAGCAAAGCATAATATAAGTACTACGATGTGATTTATACAGGTTGGAGGTTAAGGGAGTATCTTTAGAAGAAGACCAAACTTGATGATGACTTTTGGAATTTTAACATAAAAATCCCCAAAGAAGAAAGCCAAATAAAAATCATTGATCAAACAGTGAAACTAAGCTTCAGAAGTCAAATCCCAAGATAAATCAGAAATTCTGCCATAGCATGATTTCTACATAAACTAACTTGTATTATGTTTTCTTTTTCTTACGTGTAGAGTCCAAGCCATACAAATCCAACATGTTGGTATGCAAGTTTTTGTTTCCACTGCTATCATAATAATTCAACTAAAAGTTGCAAAGCTGGACATATTCTCTATATCCATCATTATTTTGACCAGGAAGGCCATGAAATTCCAAGAGCTTACAATAACATTATGCATTTCAAGCAACTACATTAGGAATTTCCAACAAGATGCCCAGCATTTGCCACACAAATCAAATTAAAAATTTTGCTTCACTTTTCTACCTTTGATAACCACTATAGGGGTGCTAAACGCTATTGCATCACAGAATTCCTCGGATACACAATCATGACTCCATCTGCTATTGTGGGCCACTATGGTGTCATTTTTGCAGCATGTATCCTATATCCTCTAGTCATCATTGCAAAGTCTCCAACTAATTGAACTTTTGAGTTAATGTTATTCAATTTTTATGCATTTTATTTTTGCTTGCATACAACTTATGTTTTTATACATATATAATTCATATATATTTTAACTGCTATGCAACTATTTCTATTTACCCCAGACGTTATCTGCTATATGATATAGCAGATTATTAGATCATTCAAAACCCACAGCTTATTAATGCCCCAATCCGTTACATGTTATGCTCTCGCTCATGAATAAAACAAGTTGTAAAAGTAAATACTTAACTACCCCTGTTATGCGTGCATTGGATTGACCAACTGTTTCATTGTCATAATTAAATTTCCTTATTTCCCACGCAAACACATATATGCCTAGATATTTCTTAGCTTCATTCTATTACAATATAGAAAAGATTTTCCACATGCACAATCAATCTATATAAACAAACAAACAAAAGAAGGTCATATTAAAAAACTTATCTTAAATTCAAACATATATACAGACACCCCTATTCTAACTCATCAGACAATAAACCATTCCAAAAAGGCACCATTGTTTTGACATAACCAACACTCTCCTATTAACCATTTCTTACCAAAGTTATTACAGCCACGAATATGAAAACAGCACATAATTAAGCGAAAAATGTTACACAATTCACTTAAAATCTTAACCTATATCTATCAAAGCTGAGGGAGGCAATTAAGTTCTTGTTTGGGTTCTTGTCCACACAACTCAAACATGGATCAAAGAAGCAACTATCAGTTGCTTTTTGTGCATTTTGACATAAAAAGAAATGATAAAACACGAATCATCGATTAGAATCCAAACATGCACTAAAACTGGGTTGTTATTAATAGAGAAAATAAGCTATACACTGACAATAAAAAGTAGTTTTGCACTATTATCCAATTACAAGCCACTGTACATGGCAAACTTTCCAATAAATAACTAAAAAGTCATAACTAAAGTCATGCAAACAGAAATTTCTGATTAGTTGACCATATAAAAGTGTTTGACATTGTCAATGCATAATCATTAAACTCTATTAATATACTCTCTCTTTCCTTTCATCTCATTTTCACCTCATTACTTTCCCTCCATTTCCCATCACATATATCAGATTCTCTCTCTTCCTTTATTTTCCCTCTCTATCTATGTCCCTCAACCTGTTCACACATGAGAAATCTATCAATTTCTCTCTTTATTCATTGTTCCTCTTGATCTATGTCTTCCTTCCATCCCATACACCCTAGTCTAACATTCTCCATTAAGAAAAAATACAAATAACACACTCTCTCTAACACACTAGCTACTATTGGCTGAAAATTTTAGTTAAAAACCACTGTTTTTGGTAATTGTTAAAAAACCACTCTCTACTATTATCTGAAATTTGTCAAAATATTATTACAAAATTGTGTGAGTCTCACTCCACATTAACAAATTCCACTCATAATTTTCTAATTATCAATAAATTTTAGTAAGTGTGTTGCATTAAAAATGGAGCGTAAGAGGGAGAGAGAGAGACAGAGACAGAGTTAAGTACCTTCAAGAAACGCCCCCTCCGATTCTCGCCAATGTCGAAGTAGAAAACCTGAAAAGGGAAAAAGAGATTAGAGAAACGGTAGGGAGCGAGGAAGAGAGTGAAAAAAGGGGTTTACCTTGGTGTCGAGCTGCAACTCCTTGCTGAAGAGGTCTTGATCGTCGGAATTAACGTAGTAATTGAAGAGATCGAGGAACCAGGAAATGCCAGAGAAGGGGACGATGATGGTGGACCTGGTGGCGGAGGTCTTCTCGGAAATCTTAAGGTAACGACCGCGAGGGTTCTCCTTCAGATCGAAGTAAAACAGCTTGTGCTCCACCTGCAGCGTTTTGCAGAGCAATTCGACGTCGTTTCCTCCGCCGCCGCCGCCACCACCTCCGCCGGAGTTCCCCTCCATCTCCGCCAATAACGAATCTCGATGCCGCGACAGATCTGGCTAGTGGCTAACTGCGCATGAGGGTTCGCGACTTCCGCAGCAGCAACGAACGGCAACAGCGACGGTCACAACGAACTCCTCAATTTCGACAATTGGGGAGTGCACTGCACACTGCGTACGAGTACGAGGACGTGCTCTCCGATGTGTCGATGTTGGTTACACAAAGCCTCTCTCGCTTCGCAGATCCATCTGATAGGATCTTTTCACCGCACGAGTCAATTAGTAGCAATCGGTAATTACTGGATTTGCAAGTTTCTCATCGTAAATTCATCAAATTTAGCCAAAAGTCAAAGAAAAAAAAAACAATTTCATAAATGAAAACAAAATTGGATGTGTGGGATTTGGTTTAGTTAAATAAGACATTATTTTTTTTTTATTATTATCTTTTGGTGAATCTTAAAAGGCTTGACTATACCCACTCAGACAATTTGAAACGTGCTTACACCTACCCCTCTATTATAATTTATACATCTAAATCATCGTATAGAATATATTTGTACCCAAAAAGGAAAAAAATATTGAATGGGAATATTTTTAAGAGTTATTATTTGTATCATTTATTTTATCTAATATAATGAAATTTATTCTTTATTTTTAAAATATTTTAATTTTGATTTAAAGAATAACTATTAGTTATTTTAAGACTTGATGAAAATCAAGGGGGGAAAACTATAGGTTAACTCCCAATAAGAAAATGGAGAAAGATCCATAATTCTCTCTTTTTCTTCCTTTTGTTTTTTTGGTAAATTGAATAATAGAAGAAAATATTTTTCAAACTTAAAATTCATGATTATTGGAAAACATAAATATTCAATCATGATTTCTAATAATAATTAAAATATATTTGATTGTTGATAGATATTTTTAAAAATATTTATATATGTTCCTAAAATTTAAATATTTTTATGACATGAAATTAAAAAATAAAGGTAATGTGGTATATTAGTGCTATAAATTTTTTCCAACAAATGTCATGATATTTTTATTTATTTATTTAATAAAATAAAAATCTTTGACTTTTTAAGTAACATTTATTATGAACAATCAAACATATTTTAACTATTCTTAAAAATTATATTTTTCAAAATTTATGATTATTCTTATAAATTATGATTCTTAAACTTTAAAAAAAACTCAATGTAACAAATGTCTCCTTAATTAAAATGTTTGATTTCCACCTCCCTGTGGAAATAATTTAGTAAAAATTTATGTAAAGAAAATAAAAATTAAAAAAAAAATTGCAAGAGACAAGGCTAATGGCTGAAGGATTTTAAACCACACTAATCTTAGTTGACCTACTACAGTCTCCCTCGGTCAATCCTAGAGTATTAAACCTCTTCATGCCTTAGCACTCGAGGTTGAGGGATTGTATATAATACCAATCTTTAGCCAATCAACCATCTCCTTCTTCCAAGCTTATTTGTGTCATATTATTTAAGATTGAGGGAATGTGTATCATATCAATCTCAAGCTAACCTACCATACCCAAGAGATATTATGAAGTCTTTGTATGGTTACTTAGATCTAAGTGACTCGTTAAATTAGTTCAATTGGTTGACAATAAATATTAGAAATATTATTTTTTAAAACAATAAATTAAACATAAAAAAAAATAATGTTTCTAACTTTAAATTCTTGGAAAAACTAGCATTTCCACATTTAAATAAAGACAGATTTTAGAAAATATAACAAATAGCATCTTCTATTATAAAATTCATTTATTTGATGAAAAAATAAATTAAAATGTATAATAGTTGATTCAAAATCTCCTAAAAATAATAAAAATATTAAATAATCCAGACTGAAGAGTGAAATTAGTAAAGTTTTCTTATGTTTGTTTTAATTACTGAAAAATAAGTAGAAAGAGTTTAAAAATATGTTGTGAAAAAATGTTTTTTTTTTTTAGTTTTCATTAATAAATTAAATAATAATAAAAATTAAAGGTTATGTGGCAGACCTATCTCACCAAATCAAAAACACCATGGTCATATTTGACTTATAAACAAGGTGACAAATTCTAGCTTGTGGAGGAAAATGTGAAGTAATACCAATTAATTAAGTTATGCATTACAAATATATGTTGCATTTTTATGGAGGCTATCCACTTTGATTTAAGGTAGGGTTTGAGAAATAATTTATTTTATTGTTGTAAATGAATTCAAGTCGTTTATTTTATACACTCATAAATGGAGGTGATATTTACTTATGTCATTGTAGATTTGGAAGTCGAAGAAGAAAAGTTGAAAAATGGTCTTATCTAAAAAGGGATAATTTAGATACTTAAAAATTTATTTACTTTCCTAGGACCTTTAATCAATTAAAAGAAACCTTTTTTTAAAAAAATTAATTGATTTAGTCCATTTTAAAAACAATTGTCAAAGGAATGCAATCTTGATCAATTTGATGGATGCAAATGACAAATAATGCACAATGTTTCTACATCATGATAGAAGATACAAAATTTATGATAGTTTACTCTTACCACTTGAGAGCAACATTTATTCTTCAATCAATATTATTTAGATCTTCGTTAAAAATAAAAATGTTTTTACGACCACATTTGCTCACACCATGATTGAATCAAGAAAGTTTTTCAATATCCCATTGGACAATACTTTCTTCACAATAACAATTAAAACACCTACTTTCCTAGTTTTCACTCACTACAAAACACACTCAAACCTAGGTGTAAAGGAAAGAAATCATGGGAAGATAATACCATATACAAACTTGCCTAAATAAGAACTATTTGGAATCTCTTTTGTCCAAATGATTTATATAAACAAGTGATCAAGTACCGATAAAACTCTTTTATTTTTCTCAAATATCTCTCTAAAGAGTTTATCACTAATATTCTTTGAGTATATTTCGTTATGTTTTAAACTGATTTATAGAAAGTTATTTATAAAACTTTTCTTAACTAATTTAATTGATTAAATAACCATGCAATTGATTAATACATTATTAATCTTTTTGGGTATAGTTTTTGAATAAATTTAAGTGATTAATTTATCATGTAATATATTAAAAAAAAGAATTTTAAAAAACTGACATTTAAAAAATAACTATCGTAATCAATTACAAAACAAAGGTAATCAATTAAAAAAAAAAGAGTTTTAGAAAATTTGAATATTTCACATACTATTACTCTATTTTAAATTGAACTTTTTCTTTTCAAAACTATATGAGATCTTTTCCAAATTCACTTTTAACTATGAGCTTTTTCTTTATTAACTTGAAAGTTAGTTTTCTCTTTAAGTGAATAAAATTTTAAACTTTGGTTTGATGAAGCTTACATGACCTCTTCATCACACAATATTTCTAATTCTAAGACACCATTACACATATCCAAGACAACACTAAAATATAACAACTAATGTTGATCTTTAATGCTTTGAGATCTTGCTTTCATCATTTAGCTCTATTACTAACAAAAGCAACTACAAATGTTATGATAGACCCTTCTATGGTTGTCTAGGGTGGAGTCAAACAATTGTAATTGTTTTGTTGGGTAGATAATGGTGTCTTATAAAGTAAAGTTTCAACATTAGGTCAGATGCAAATGGCAGATGAAGTGAAGGAAGCTTTATACCAAGTTTTGGAAAGGCAGAAATCCCACCTATTAGGTGAAGGATAGGGTGGGAGACTTTAACATTTCTCCCACCCCAAATCTTATTTATAATCGTTAGATTTAATTGTTTTCAAATTGATGGCTGTGATCTTTTTTCATTTTTATTTTTTATTTTTCTATTTTTCCCTTGCTTGTCCATGTACCCCTCTTTTTTCTTTCTCTTTTCTTTAATAGAAGTCACATTCACACCAGCGACACCATGGCTTCAACATGTCCTTTTAACTCACCAGAATCACTACTTTTCAGCTCACCACCACAAGCCATCACCACCCCTCGTTGATGTAGAGACCAGTAATGGTGCAAAACTCACTCAAAACAAAATCGCAAAAATATTCAACAACAAAGAAAAATTGCAAAATCATTCATCATTAAAGAAAAAAGTGAGAAATAAATAAATTAAGTAGAATCCCAAAAAAGGAAAATCAAATTTGAGCTTTCTTTAGCTAGATTTGAGTTTTATTTTATATTGTCAGATCTGGTTTCACTTAGAAAAATCACAATACCTACTACTACTCCCCTGCCAAGATGCTTACAAAGCACTGCTTGATTTGGATCAGTGGTGGGTAGGGAATGGGCAAGTAAGGAGAAGGGTGGAAGAACATTAGAGAGATCCAGGGCCAATTTGGGGAAAATAGGGGAAAAAAAGGAAGAAAAAAAATCTCATACATTCATTTATAAATAAATAAATTTGGATGGATCAAAATAATTTCTGATAGTGAGAGACATGTTAAGATTTCTCACCCTAGCCTACCAGATCATAAAGATGCAAAGTTTTTTATGATGTATTGTGGTTGAATTTTTGTTCTTTAAGAGATTTGTTGTTACCTCTTTGATATATTGTTCGATGAAGTACACGTATTACCCATGATAGCACCTATTAGTTAATTAGTTAATAGATTCAGAAGTGTAATGTGATGGTTGTGACCTAAATTTTAAAGCCTATAATGAAGTACTTATAACCTTTTTATTATACATTTAGTTATTAGAGTGCTCAATAAATCTTTTAAGTTTTTGCTTTCATTGGAAGAGTTTTAGCCATTATCATTAACTAGGAATGAGTAAAGGACGAATTTATTTGTTTTTATAATTAGGTCATTTATTTAAATTCCAACTAAAACACAATTAAGGTATAAAATTTTTCATTTAAGCAAAAACTAAAATGTATTAGGGATGTTCAAAATCAAAGTAACCTAATCAAAATTAAAAATCGATTTTAAAAATTGAAAACAAATAAAAAAAATCAAATAACCTACAATTTGATTCAATTTTTTTTACCAAACTGACCGATTTGATTTAATTTGCAATTATAAAATTGATCAAAATTAAACCAAACAAAATCACAATTTGTGTGTGTTTATTTTTCCAAATATGCGTAGGTATATATCATATGAATATATGACAGTGAAAAAAAATGAAAAATAAACTTATACAGTCATTTTTATAGTTAGCGTTAATTTAAGTTTTTAGTGGGTGTAAAAAAAATTATAATTTTTATCAATCAACAAAAAAATATTAATTAGAAACGTTTGGCTTAACTTATATATCAAGCCAATTAACTAAATAGATTGGTAAATCATATTATATTTATAGGATACCAAATTTATTCCATTTATTTTGTTTTTTTAGATGAATTTAACAATATAAAAAAATTAAAATTTTTAATTGTGAGTCTCATTGTTAAACCCTACAATGTATCACTTTCAAACCCAACAATGTAACAATATAGAAAATTATGATTCATTTATAACATAATATTACATTTTTTAACTAACTTTTAAATAATATATTTTTAAAACTATAAAAACCAAACCAAATTAAATCACAAAAGATTGATTTTGTTGGATTTAAAATTCATAATATATTCAAATTAAATCAAATCAAATAGTACTTAATTAGTTTATTTAATTCAAATAACTTTTGAACCATAAGTCGAATCAAACCATACTACAAACAATCCCTTGGCATATTATGTTTGCTATGCATATCTACAATTAGAGTAGCATTAAATCAAATACATTTAATCAATTCTCTCATTTGATTTAAAGATGTGAAAACAGGAAATGAATATAAAAAGAAAAAATATCCCCTTCAATTTTATTCTTTCATTTTTTTTTCTTTATTTTATCTCTACCGAACAAACAGCAAAATCTTTCCCTCCTCCACTCCTCTTCATTAAACCCTCATTTGCTTCTTTAAACTAGTCACTCTGTTATAGTATGTTTCGAAAGAATGAAAGAGAAAATTAAGGGGGGAAAAGGGAGAATAAGTAGTAAAAAAAAAAAAACAACTTATTTAGGTTGATTATTGATTGAAGAAATAGAAGATAAAAGTTTTCTTTTTGCTTTTTTTGCTTATTTGGTTGGGAAAAAAATAAAAAGAAATAAAGTGAGATATTAATGTAAAATAATAGTACATAATTTGTTTTATCGTTAAAAATAGTAAATTGCACAAAATATTGTGAATAATTGAAAACAAAAAGATGTCCCGGGACATGGGTCTGCATTAAGAGGATTTATTCAAGAAAACTGGGGTGATGGGTGTACATCAAGAGAAGGTCCACAAACTGTCTATTAATTCATTCACACAGGAACCCCTAACTCGTTGATCTTCACTATCCGTTTGTTCAGCGCAGATCGCTGCCGGTTCAAAGTTGAAGCCATAGAAGCAACCTGATCACGTGTTTGAGGCAGAGAGAAAAACAATAAGAAATGAACATTACTGAACTTTAGGGAAACACAAAGAAAAAGTTGCCTTGCCTCAGCTCGAAGTGCCAGTGACTCACGACTTGGTATATACCGCAGCTTGTCTAGCAAATCTAAAGCATGACAAATGAGGGTAAATTCCAAAGCCGCAATATATAGCAACATAATACACAGAGCAAATAAGCAAGGGAGAATTACCAAAGGAGCTCCTGATTTTCTTCATTTTAAAACCAAAAATAAAACATGCGATAGTTTTTTTTCTTCTTAATTTGGTGTATAAGAGCGTTTACTTTTGATATTTTCTCAGTTAAAAAATATTATACTGTCAATCAATTATAAAACACCTTAAACATGACTATTTAAGTAATTATTACAAAATCAACCATTTCAATTATACAGTGATCCATGATTGGGCGACACCATAAAAAAAATAAAAATAAAAAAATAAAAAAAACTTTTATAATATCAGTATATTCTAATTGAATTCAATATTTTATCACAAGTTACTTAAAAGAAAAAGAAAGATAGCATACCAGCAGCTCGGGTTTCAACCTTGTATGCTGATTTTGCCAGCTGTTGAAATTGGGTTCCAGCGCCCCTATACATTGATTGGAACTAACAAACTTCAGAAATACTAGCAGTGAGCAAATAAGTCATATCCTTTCTTTAACTGATAATACATACACTAGTTCGGTATGCCCATATTTCATTTCTTTCTCAGCAAGAGCTGTCCTTTGAAGCAATTTCACACTTTCCTTCCTCAGTAAATCCAGTGAAAGGTTCAAGTCCTTTACATTTTTCTCAGTTCTAGCATATCGTGTCTTCAAAAAAATTCATGTAAAAAGGTGAAAGAAATACCAGAATATGAACTGGTGAAATAACAAAATAATACAACTTTCAATACACAACTGTATAAGATCTTGATAAATCAAGTTACATAATAAGGAAAGAGCAAGTTAGCATCACAAATAAAGAGGGGCAGACGGAAGAACAATACGTAAGGGATGCATCTTGATTGTTCAACTGAGTAATACCTCCTCACTCTGAAATCGACCAAATGTATGACGAAACAGAAATCTTCTTGGAGCTACAAAAACAAAAAATACTTCAGTTTAAAACAAATACAAACTCAGTTGAGACTTGAGACGGAGATACAGAAAACGGCATTGAAAAAACTGGTTTTGAACATAATCAGTATAGTGCAGAAGTGTCATAATGATCACATCTTCCAAGAAAGATATGTAACACTATATGGATCAACCTCATAAATCAATCAATGGGCTATATAAAAAAACCAACTCAAGCAATTTCTAAAAAAAAAAAAATAATTCAAGCAAAGTCATTTTTTAATGGTTTCTTCTATAGTTTTCTCAGGTCTTACAATTAATCCCTATTATCTTACACCAGTTCCCCTTCACTTGAATATTTTCCTGTCTTCAAATCTTCCACTCCAGATTCAAATATATTGTAAATTTTTTAATATTTGAAAACCTTTAAATTATTTCTTGTCTCGGCCTCCATATTTTGAGCAATTTGGGATCCCTTCCACTAGCACCATTAATAGATTGGTATCTGACTTAATAAATAAAATTTTTAACATGGTAGTTGAATCAGGATACAATTTATGTATCAGAAAACCTATTTTCCGAATCGTGAATCATAAGGTTCATAATCCATAAAAACATAATATATATATATATAAATAGCGATTCACTTACTCCAAAAAGTAAGTTTTGATAGACTTATTCCACTGAGTAACATGTATTTTTTTATCAAATTTCAATGATCCAATTGTTAAACTAAAAGTTCTTAATATATAGGGTAAGTGTACAAATTTTTTAAAAATTTGAAAACTATTTGATATTTCGTTTCATTAATTTAAATTGACAGATAATCATACAAACATTTTACACATTGATTTAATCTATATAACGACATATCATATGATTTTCAAATTTATTAAAACTTTGCAGACTTGATCTATATATTAAAAAATTTTAATTCAATGGTTAGATCATTGAAATTTAATATTGAACACAAGTTATTAAATGAAATAAGTGGATCCCTCTCTCTCTCTCTCTCTCTCTCTCTCTATATATATATATATATATATATATAGACACACACATATAAATGCTCTCTAGCCATATTTTAACATAAAAATCATATGAAAAATGAAATCATACACAAATATATAATAGCATATAAGCTTCAATAAATAATAACAGTCCCAAAAGTGGCTGTCTGCACAGTTCAGCAAAGAGCCTCCCAAAAACTCAGTTTTATTCCTTCAATTCCTTTTCATTTAACAATTTAACCTTATATGACTTTTCAATTATTCATGCGAATTGGTAATCTAAGGTAAAAAGAAAAAAATAATGAATCGATGATACAAAATTGTATAGATTCATTCATGTCTCATAAGATACAAAATCATTTTAGATTCATCTTAAGATACGTATCAGTAGGTTGTCAAATTGTATTGGATCGTCAGATTCCAATCATGTACCGTAAGATTCTGATAACTATGTTTCTTAACACAGAAAATTCTAAGAGCTCAGGTATCTAAAGATTTGTATTATACTATTGAAATTTTTCAAGAGGAAAACTTCTGGAATATAACATGCATAATTTTTCATCTTTGATTTGGAAAATCATCTCCCAATTCTATTTGTTTTGTGACTTCTTCATTATATCAACTAAAAACCAATTTATTCTTTGAAGTCTTTATATACTAAATCAGATGCCTTTTGAGGACCTATGGTTCAACAGGACATTATGGATTGGTTGAAGATTCCCTTCTACAAAGATGTTTTACTCTAGACTACTCACAAGGTCAAGGCTGCCTTCTTTATTTTCCGTGCAGGCTCCCCCATGATGCTTGTCACTGTGAACTGTGAAGCATGTGTTACACATAACAAAACTTCAAGCACATGGCAAAACAATTCCAATTATACTCTAAGCCTCACCATGTCATTATTTTTTAATACCACTTGAATTGTTGCAAGGAATGTAGAAAATAGCAGCTTCTTAATAGAATTACAGGTAGGAAAAATATATCATATGAAAGTTGAATTACCGAGTCCTAAGGGCTATTTAAACCAGGTTAATTACATATTACCAAGTCCAAGCCAAATCATATAAGTCCCATCTAAACTCAGCTTTCCAGTCACTAAAAGTTCAAATGCTAGTCATGTGACTAATTAGGACAATGAAAACTACATTAAAAACAAAATAAAAAGGAAAACAACGAAATAATTCACAATACATAAAGAAAAGAGTAGCGATCCTGCATTAGATTCCCAAGTTTGACACAATATAATAACTTGTATTATGATATCATATTAAAAACTAAACTGCCTGTCACAAGAGAATTTGTTGAAGATACAAAAATATTGGATTGAGTCTTTTAAGAAAAATTGAGCTGCCAAAGTAAAATTAGTTACTTTCATTTGCTAATGATAGGAAAAGAATTACCTCGCATGGCCAGAAGGGCAGCAGAAATAGCTAAACCAGCACCTAAAGCTGGATATTCCTTTGCAGTCAACAATCCATCTGCAAAAGGGTAAGAATATAAACCAATGCTATATATAAAAGGTTACTACAAAGCAAAAACTCATTGCTGTTTCTATAGCCATCAACTTGTTTGGGGATTGATAACATTCAGTATGTTAATTTGTCTAGGAAAAAAACAATTTTAAAATAAGATTAGTAACATTAATTTCTTAAGGGGAAAAAAAAGGTACAGATGAAATGCAAAATATCCTACCAAACAGGAAAAACTAAATACAATAAAACCATGAAAAGGCTCAAATATATATATCAAGGGTGCATGATCTTAAAACCCTTGAAGAAACAATTATGAATTGAACACCAAATAGAGGCCATATGTACAATCCTATCCCATGGCAAGTATAGGTACAAAGACCAATCCAAAGAAATGAAAGCATTTCCAATCAATAATTTTTAAAATGATCACATAAATTACAGACTGCCATAAAAATAAAAAATTTAACCTTACTTTTTCCAGAACCTTTATACCAAATCATCGAAAGATCATAAAAGTTGAAGGACACAACCAACACTCACAAGATCAAGACTATCAATTTTTTATCACCTTTAACTTTGTTGAAGAAGGCATCTTCATATGTTCTATACTGTGATACTGCTTCTGGTAAAAAATCCTGCAAAAAAATCATGCATAACCAGATGAGTTTTGGCACCATTCATATTTAATTTTATTGAGAGATAATAAGGGATTACACATGCAGGAATTTCCCAAAATTATATAAGATTGAACATGGGAAAAAGAAATCACATAATGAGAAAAGATGCTATGGCATCAGAAGAATGGTTATTTTCAATAAACAAGAGTAGGAAAGCAAATTGGAGAACACTGCCACCTCTTATAAAAGAAAAAAAAATGCAAAATAGAGCCTTCAACTTATGTACAATATTTCAAAAATATAATGAAAATAACTTACATTTTATCTTTAAAATGATTTGACTGACTTTCTTTACTATTTTCTTATATATTGTCAATGCAGGGCTTATATGTTGTAAAAAAAAAAACCCTAACTAATCATGTTTCATAACTTTAGACAGGTTTACCAGTTAGACCATATGACAACATGTTAATAGATGTTTCAGAATTAAATCTGATCCAAGGTTCCTGAAATTGAATATATGATCAAGTATGTACCAGACTCTGTTTGGATAACAAATATGAAATTCATGCATGGAATCATAGTTTCTATAATTTCAATTCTATATTTCTCACAAAAATCAATTGATCAGAGCTTCATATTTTATGTACAAGTTTACAAAGAATCGAGAAATAAATTATAAATCTAATTCTAATATTGAGTGAATGATCTAAATGTTTTAAAAAGTAAGTCTATAGTACAGTTTCTATAATTTTAAAATCACATAAATAACAAACTAATATTAATTATGGACACAGAGATGGAAGTCGTGGTCCACACAACAAAAATCATGATAGTAAAAAATAATAGTAGTGATGGTTGTGACAACCTGAGCAGCAGGGTTGATGGTGGCAGCAGCAAAGATTACTAAGTTGAAGATGATGATGGTAAAGTAAGATTAGTAGTAGCAGCAACAATGATAGAGATGGTAGAACGTAGAAGTGAGTGTTGGCACTGACACTAGTAGAGGTGGAATAAGGTGGAGGCAAAGGTCATAGTGAGCAGTGCATGTAAATGTACTGGTGATACTAACGAGTAACAGATACTCTGGTACCACATTGTGTACCCATTCTTCAATATTAGGAGGTAAGCCTGGTCTAACCCATGCCAGACTGGGCAAGGCATTCACAGTAAATGTGTTTGGCCCCACAGCTTTCCAGCAAATGTAGTCTGCCCCGGTGGACTTCCCAGACACACTGGTCCCAACTTGGTCCAGTCATTATCTAGCCATGGTCTCTCCAGCATCAGCTGAATCAAACGACCAGATGCATCTATTTCCAGCAGCATCAATCTCAAGCTATTACTAAAGTATACAGTGGTTTTTTCCTGGTCTAATCAAGCTCTTTGTTTCCATTGAATCCATGTTTGATACAGCCTTGTAACAAGCTTAAAGCTTAGTAAGCTTTATATTGAGGGGGAGTGTTAAAAATAACAATATTTAATGCACTTGGGAAATAGTATGTTCATGTATCACACAATGAAATGTATTTAGAGTTCATGAGTATTAGGCTATAGTGCCTAGGAAGTTGCAGTTAAACCTGATTGATAGTAGCCAAGGAAATAGTCCCCACTAAGTCTATTAAGATATATATAGACAGATAAACCAAGTCTTTTGGTCTAGTGGTTGTAAGATCTGTCCTAAGACACAAGGAGTCGATCTAGTGTTCCTAGGTTTGATTCCCGTCAATGTTAAAAATGATCTTGGCTAACAGAGGCAACAATCCACGAGTGTAGATTAATCTTTAGTTGTCAGCTTTGGAACATTGTGTAGACTATATCCGTGAACTAAAAGAGATATATATATAGACAAAGATAGATATAAATATGGATGATATGCAAAACCTGACACTACTACTACTACATTATCTTCAATAATACAGCTTTCCCATTCTCTAAATTCTCATCATAATATCCAGTCTATCTTCTTCTAAATCTCCCCCTCTAAATTCAACAGCTTCACTGCTATGGCACAGAAGCTTGGGTGGCCCTACACTATTTTCTCTTACGTGCTCAGAAAGAAATTGAGCATGAGCTTGTGGCATTTGCAGAAAATTGCAAATATTCTCACCAAGGAACTATCACATTCATTGTTTGAAAAGGGGGGTTAAAAATAGTATTAGTATCATATAATGGGGCAGTTGCGCAACTCAAATAGTATTAGCATCATATATATAACGAATGAAATCCTTTTGTTTCTCTCAGTCCCCTTCTTTCCGTTCATTTTCGGTTAACAAAGAAGATAGGAATTGAAACCCTCAATTCGGCATGGCATTCACCTTCTAAACCAGCTAAAGAGAAATTCAGGAAATAGGGAATTTTATCTACATCGCGCATAGCGCATAATATGCAAGATCCAGACAAAAATGAAAAGGGGGAGAGATGAGGAAACCTGAAAGGCACGGAAATGAGTTGAAGAGCTATGTTGCACATTTCGAGCAGATTGAATGGCGGAACGTTGAAGATTCTCCGCAATGGACACCAACGATGACGGTGCGGCTTCTGAGGACGCGTCTCCGTCTGAAGAGGACGACGAATCTGCCTTTTCCATGGTTGCACTGCACTGCCTTCGGTGGCCGTCACGGATTATGTGTATATCAGTATATATACCAATACCAATTAAATGCCGAATAAACAACGAGAATGAATACCTTACGAACACTATTCTTTTGGCTCAGGTAATGTAATTGCATTTTTTTTTACCTAACATGTAATTAGTATTTTAATCGGTCTATGTTTGTCTTTATATAATTAATTTCATTTTTGAAGTGATATAGTTAAAAGTTATAATAAAGAAATATATTTTGAATGTATAAATTATATAATAATGAAAGTTATAATAAATAAACATGTTTGAATAGACAAATTTTAAGTTTAAATAGTTTTTATTTATTTATGTGATATATCATTTTTATTTTAGTTTTTATAAAATTAATTTTGTAAAATAGCTCTTGTATTTTTTATCTTTGTTATTTTTTTTATCCTTATAATACATTTTTTTGTCCTTGTAATGACTAAGATTAATATTATATATATATATACATATTGTAAAACTAAAATATAATAATAATAATAATAATAATAATAACCAAATTTATAAATAAATAAAAAAACTACAAGAAACTTCTGACCAAAAAGAGAAGATTGATTGAAGATCGAATAGGAAGTTGGAGGTTGGTTGTAGTGCAATCATCCAAAAATCTGTCTTAGAAATCTATAGATCTTGGTAGTTCTACCATTTCAGTTACCATTGGAAGCTTACTTGTGGGAAAAACATCACTAGATTTAGGAGCTAGCATTAATCTAATGCCCTTGTCCATGATGAGAAGGATTGGAGACTTGGAAGTTAGGCCTATTAAGATGACTTTTTAAATGCTAGATAGGTTAATGAAGTATCCTCATGAAATAGTGGAAGATGTATTTGTCAAGGTTGATAAATTCAAGTTTCCAATGGACTTTGTGCTAATGGATACAGAGGAGGATAGGGAAGTTCCATTGATTCTTGAAAGACCTTTTATGAAGGCAACTAAAGTGATCATTGATGTTGATGATGGCAAACTAAAGGTCAGAGTTCAAGATGATGAAGTGAATTTTAATATTTTTGAAGCAATTCAACATCATAGTGATAAAAAAGAATGTTTGAGAATCGATGTTATTGATGAATTGTGCTTGACAACAAGAAGACAAGCAAATGATCCAAGTCCTTTAGAGAAGGCTTTGATAGATGCATTTGAAGATTTGAATAAGATAGAGGAGAATGAGATTGAACAGTGTTTGAGGGATCTAGATCAACAAAGGAGATTCCTTCATAAAAGTAAAAAATGAAGATTTGGAGACAAATATTAAGGTGGAAACTCAAAAGCTAGAATTGAAAATGTTACCACCTCAATTGAAGTATGTGTTCCTTGAAGATGGAGGAAATAAAGTGGTAATCATTAGTAGCTCTTTTTCTCCTTCCAAGGAAGAAAAACGGATTAAGGTGTGGAAGGATAACAAGGAAGCTATAGGTAGATGCTCTTAGATCTCAAGGGAATCGGTCCCTCTTATTGCATACATAAGATTCTCAAGGAGCCAGATTTTAAGCTTGTAGCTCAACCATAAAGACACCTTAATCCAACAATGAAAGAAGTGGTGAAGAAAAAGGTCTTAAAGCTTTTGCAAGTAGGAATCATTAATCTTGTCTCAAACAATGCTTAGTTAAGTCCAATACTAGTAGTTCCAAAGAAAGGTGGGATGATAGTTGTTTAGAATGAAAAGAATGAATTAATTCTTACATGGACTGTTACTGGTTGGAGGATGTGTATAGATTACAGAAAACTCAATCTGGAAACTAGAAAATATCATTTTCCACTACCCTTCATGGATCAGATACTTGAAAGGTTAGCTAGACAAGAATACCACTGTTTTTTGGATGGCTACATTTGATACAGTAAAATTGCAATGTACCCTAAAGATAAAGAGAAAATAGAATTTACTTGTCCATTTGGTGTTTTTGCATACAAGAAAATGCCTTTGGTTTATGTAATGCCTCAACTACTTTTCTAGAGATGCATGTTAGCCATATTTTCTGACTTGGTTGAAAAGTGCATTGAAGTCTTTATGGATGATTTTTTAGTATTTGGCACTTCTTTTAATACTTGCTTGGAAAATCTTGACACTGTACTAAAGTAGTATATTTAAACCAACCTTGTTCTCAACTAGGAGAAATGTCATTTTATGGTGACTGAAGGAATAGTTTTAGGTCACAAGATTTCTTTTAGAGGCATTAAAGTAAATAAGGCTAAAGTGGAGATCATTGAGAAACTTCCTCCACCAACCAACATCAAAGGAATTCAGAGTTTCCTTGGCCATGCTAAATTTTATAGGCGATTCATCAAGGATTCTTCAAAAATTGTCAAGCAACTTAGCAATTTGCTTAATAAGGATACTCCATTTAAGTTTGATGCATTTTGTTTGAATGCTTTGAATCGTTGAAACATAAATTGATTTCAACTCCTATAATTGTTGCCCCTAATTGAAGCTTAAATTTTGAATTGATGTGTGATGTTAGTAACTATGTAGTTAGGGTAGTTTTAGGTCAAAGAAAGTCAAAGATTTTCCATGCTATATATTATGCTAGCAAGTTTTTAAATGAAACTCAAGATAATTATGCAACAATTGAAAAAGAGTTGTTAGCTATTGTATATGCATTGAAAAAATTTAGATCTTATTTGATTAGATCAAAAGTCATACTATCAAGACATGACACAACCAATTAAATACAAGACTTTTTACATAAATAGATATACAATGATGTTCATGTGAATCTATCTTCTTTTTTTACGTCTTTCTAAATCTATCTTCTTTTTGTAAATCCTTAAACATCTCTCTCAAGCTTGCTTTGTCTGTCTTCATCTTTGCTCAATGTAAAGAGAAGTGTCCATTGATACATTAAATGCATTTCACCAAACTGTAACTTCTTATCTAATCGATGAAATTACTTATCACATTTTTTGTATCAAAAGAAAGGAATCATGTGTGTGTCAATCTAGAATAGTTTTTCATATAACTTTCCATGTTTTACAAGATATGCTACTTTTTTTTTATGTAAAGAATGCTTTTAGTTCCTTTAGTGAATTGTGGGTACCAAAGAAAATTTTCCATTCGATTTGTTAAGGAATCATGTAGACAAAAATGACTTTATTATTAGACATTATAAATAATATTCATACAAAGTATTTGTCTTATAGATGAAGTGTTTAATTTCCTAATAGTTGATCGTCTTAATAGATCATCTTATCTTTATTTGTCTTAAAGTTTGATTTGAAAGTTTTTTCTCTTATAAAAACTTTTATGTTCATTATCATAAAAACTTAAAGTTTGAGGAGTCTAAGATCATCTTTTGACCTAAAAATCAAAGCAATTCAAATATAAGTATCATAGCATAATTATACTAGTCAAAAAAATATATAAAAACTTCATAAAATAAACCCCCCCTAGGATGAAGCAACAAAGTTTGAAATATGAAAAATTAATCAAAATTCAAAAACTAATCAGACTATTGCTCTCCCCATTTTGAAATCAACAAAAGTCAAGACCAAAGCAAAAACAAGACTAGTTTAAAGATTCCTTGTCAAAGTTGACTTCAATGTTAATCTTGGTAAGAAGTTTATGATATTTTCGGTCAGAGAAACATTGCTGATGAATGAACTATTGGAGGGTCATACCAAAGTGTTCACCACTAACTTCAGTTTTGAGACAATTTTCAAGAGTGACTTCAAACGAAGTTGGTAACACAAGTGCTTCCTATGTAGGCAAAGAGGGGGCAACAACAGTAGATGCAAGAGCAATATATGTATATATGGAACATATATTAATAGGTAAATAAACAATAAAATGTAAACAAAAAAACTTGTTTTAACCCCTAAAATATTTTTAAAAAATGAAACTTTTTGATAACAACAGTTTTTATTGACTATCACAAACCATGATTATGAATTTATTTTTTTGTGAAGAATTAGCATTAGCATTAGCATGTAAATATATTTAGCATTAGCATGTCATATACATATTTAATAGTGTAGTTAGTTAATTAGGACTTTTACTTGAGAACAAACAAAGTTTTAAGTTGAGGGGAGTTGATAAGTGCCCATTTTACTCAGGAATCATAACTTTTTTTTGGAACTTATCTAACTAAGTTTAAAAGAAGAACAAAAAATTCATTTTAACCCCTAAAATATTGTAGGAATCAAAAGAATGTGTAAATTGGTTATTTTGTGAAGAGTTGATAGATTTTGGACCAATAAACCCTTGTTATGTAGATTTGATCAAGTCCTAATGATTCCAAAATTTGGAAAATTGCTCAACCAATTTGAATGTGTTTAGCGAATCAGACCAAAGAGTAAGGAATTATTGCATTAGGAAAATAATTTAATTGTTTGGAAAGAGTTGATCATATTTAGTTTACAGGAGTAAGAACATTTGGATCCAAAAAAGGCTCAGTAGATAAAGCTTTCTTCAACATGAAGAATTCAAAAATCTACTTTCTTTCCAATTGGCTAATCTGATTGCTCACTAATAGGGATCTTAAGTTCATCTCCTTTTTTTTCTATGCTTTCTTTGTACATGGAGACTACTCTCATCATCATGTGTAGCTAAGCTTCTTTCTTGTTGGGATTGAATGTAATCTATCAAACTCTTATGTAATCCTTTTGATTTATATATATGATACTCTATTATTCAATATTAGTGTTTTGATTATGTTCTTAATGCTTAAGGTGAATTGATCACTCATATTTTGATTTGAGATTTAGACTTTAATTGAAAAATATTTTCTAAATCTAATTTAAACCAAATCACCTAATGATTCTAAAGGCTAGAAATAAACTTAGAGTTATTAGTTGATTATATTCATGAGCTTAATGCAAGGACTCTGATTTGGTAAAATGAAGAATCAGTTATTAAATTAGAATCCTTAGAATTTCAAAAGACAAGGAATTGATTTAGAATTACCTCAAGACTTCAATAACACTAAGTGACAGAGATCATATGTAAATAATTTTAGAAGAGCTAGGGAGTCAGATAGGTGAAATTAAGTCTCAACAATTTCTCTCACTATCATCTTTTCAAATTTACACTTGTATTCTATTACTTGTTTAGGTACTTATTTAATGTTGAAATGAAAAATAATGT